GACCCGATTTGGTTTCTTCCCGAATACGCCAAGGACTCAAAAAAAAAAACAATCCGACACGATTGATCTCTCGTTCGGTTCCCCGTCCCCGTCCGCCGTCGACCGAGCCCTGACCTAATGCCACCTTCACGATCGTAAACCGGTCGTTTAGCTCCTTTAGTCGCAACGCGATGAAAACGAGATGTGGAACTTTCTGAGGGGTCGAGCTTATCGTTGATATCGGTTCCGCTCAGATCCGATCGACTGGCGAGGAAGAGTTCTCAAACAAACCTAATGAATCATTCGAGTCCATCAAAAGCTGGTGTTTTCAAACAGGTCAAGTGGTTTTCGCTCTAAAGCAGCCACTTTTCAGTACCTTCAGGACTTCGTAGTACCGAAAGGCCCACTTGTACCGAGGCAAGCAAGAGTATGTCGGTTTCTCGTGTGTCCAAATCGGTTCTCTGGATTTTGCTCATCCACAGTCGGTGGAATTTGGACATTGTGGCTTGCAAATTTGTTGAGATTATGAACGCCTCTGAGCATTCACGAAAAGCTGGCTTATCAGTTCCACGTTTAGTGATTTGCTTGAAGATTTTCCGATCTACGGTGTTTTACATGATGACTCCTGAAGAACTAAGTCGTGCACGTATTTATGTTTTCAGATCAAAGCGATTGCGGACGAAACCGGACAGATTCAGAGACTTTGCACCAACAAAAATGAGCCAAATTCGGCTTCGCTCAGAAGACACATGAGCGAAGTTGGAAGTGAAGTTAGAGTGCCTTCAGTGGGTTTTTGAATGGAAAACTGCTAGTTCCCCACAACTTTTAGCGTAAGTCCCAAACGTTTAATTATTTATTAATTATTATTATTATTTTTAGCTCGCTGAATGAAATTCTCAAGATCGGCCTAAGATCTCACATTTTTTTAAAGAATGGACTGGAAATGTTTAGCAACCTGAAATACGACCAAGATCCTCTCTAGATTGTTGCTTCCAGAAAAGTAAGATATAACACGTAGGGAAATACTCAAGCACCAAGGTAAAGAAATGTGCGATGTGAAACACAAAAAAGGATTGTAAAACGTAAGGCGAGCCCCCTGAAGGAAGTGAGGGGAAAGCGAGACTTCTTCCGAGGAATCGCATCCGAGAGTCGGTGGGATTAGGGCAGGGGTTCCCAAACCCAGGGTTGCGACCCATGTTTGGGTCGCGACCCAGGGTTTGGATGTTGAATTTTGAGTCGTGACCAAAAAAGTTTGGGAACCACTGGATTAGGGACTCGGTTCTCGCGGGGCTCGAGTTGATTTCTCTGGGTTGTGCGGGGCGCAAGGCAGCGTCCTAGCGTCCTTGAATGGTCTGGGGGGTAATACTCGATGGATGTGTTCTGTGTGAGCTTGCAGAGGGTTGAAATTTCCTGTCCGTCTGAACGCTGGATGAATCAAACAGAGAAAAAATATGAGCTGAATGGACCTAGCTGCATTAGTGTGCGCTGGAATTTATTTTTCTTTCCAGGGGAAATCTAGCGTAAGCCTTACATACATACATGCATTCATTTTCAGTACCGCGTTTCCCAAATTAATGGGGTCGCGGTTCTTGCATGCCCAGGAGCGTTCTCCAATAACCTCGATCTTGGACAACGGACTCAAGCTCAGCTGATGGAATGCCGAGTCTCTTGTGACAATAGTCGAGCGACGTAATCGCTCCACCTTGTACGAGGTCTACCGACAGGTCTTTTGCCGGTCATCTTGGCCTGGAATACTCCTCTCAGGGGGCATGCGGAAAACGTGTCCAAACCACCTGACCTGAGACCTCTCGATCCTGAGAAGCAGCTGCTCGACATGGAGGCTCTCGCGGATGACGAATTTCCGCATCCGATCACGGCGCGCCACGTCAGCCACCCGACGTAAGAACCTCATTTCGGCAGCTTGTATCCGCGATCTGGTTCTTTCGGTCACTACCCAAAGCTCATGACCATAGGTTAGGGTGGGGAGATAAATACTCTTAAAAAGCGAGAGTTTCGCTTCTCTAGAAACTTCCGTTCTGGCAACCACAGTTCACCAAAGTTCCCACAGAACTGCAGAAGCCTTGGAGATGAGGCTGTCGATCTCGTTTCCTTGTCGCCCGTCACTCGAGAACCAAACCCCGAGGTACTTGAACTTCTCCACCTGTTCCAGTGGGATCCCACTGATATGCAGGGTGCACTGTACAGGATTTCTCTCAGTTTCATTCCAGCCGCAGTGCATTCGGAGTCGAATCTATCGAGCACGCTCTGGAGCTCCTGTCGAGAACAGGTCAAAAGGACTGCATCGTCTGCAAAGAGAAGTATCCTTACCGTGACGCCACCGATGTTGACCCCCTCCAGGCCGAGGCTGCACCTACAGATCCTGTCCATGCATGGACATGTACATGTACACGAGGAACAGGAAAGGAGAGAGGACACAACCCTGCCGAAGTCCAGTGCGTAGGCCTACCAGAAAACTATCCGAAATCATCCCGCTTACTCGAACGCAGCTCCTGCATTCACCGTATAGGGAGCGAACGCCCCGCAATAGCTGACCCTTGATCCCATACTTCTGCTGCACTCCCCACAGCTTCCCTCGGGGCACACGGTCGTACGCTTTTTCGAGGTCTACAAAGCACATGTAAACATCTTTGGCGTACCCCCAATGCCTCTCGAGGATCTGGTGGAGAGTGAACAGCTGGTCCGTGGTGCTGCGCCTTTCACTGCTCCTCTTTAATGGCTCCACCCGCAACTGCCCGAGCTATCTTTTCGAGGAAAACACACACACAAAAAAGGAAGCTTCAAAGAAGTAACAAAGATTCCCGCTTGGTCAGCCGAATCAGCATACTCCTCATTTTTTCAATTCTGATGTAGGGAAGATGCGTCATGTTTCGGGTTACCATGCCTGTTGTCCTATGCATATTATGTATTATTGCGAAGATGGGATGACTCGAATCTTCACGGATCGTGTTATAGATTCGTTGACCATCCTCATTCACTCCTTTGATGAAGTCAGCTTCACAGTTGGAGATATTCTGTCCCGAGAGACGCGCCAGTCATTTCAAAATCTTCTTAATGAGTTGGCAGGATTTCATTGAGATGAAGCCCGCATATGCAGCCATCCCATAGGAAAGCACAGGCAGAATGCACGTTGCAATGAACATGGTGAATGGATGTTGTGATTTGGAGGTGTCTCTGAGGAGATTGACCGCAAAATAGATGCAGCTTTGGCAGGAGGTTGAATTTATAATAGGTCAGACAAAGATGTAATACAAATATGCAAAAAAACTCAAGGTGTATAATGCAGTAATTTAGTAAAAATTGTGAATTTGTGAATAAATCCGAAGAACTTTACTATCAGTCAGTATCATACTATAGTATGATACTACGTTATGAAAGAAAGTTACCTCGCCTCGCAAGTCTTCCTTGGGAAGAAGAAAATCCCAATGTAAAAGATGAATCCTTGCTAGGAGGTATAGGAATTGCCAATGTTTCTTTTCCGGAATAATCATTTATCAGACATCAATTTTTATCTGAACCTAAATGACTTTTTTTCCTTCAAAAATTTATATTTTTGTGGATGGATGGTTGAGGTGAAAAAGTCGATTCGTACTCGTATGCTACAGGGAAATTTTTTTTTCTAAGAAAGGAGGAAGGTTTGGTTTTGTTGATATGTCTATATGAAGGTTTACTGATCCATGTCACCCCGCGAATACATTTTTCTGTCTCGTAATTTGAACCTATGTGTCAGTACTTGCACCATCAAGAAGAAAAAATGTTCATCCGTTCTCCTCTTCTTTCAAGAGAATTTGGGAAGGCATGAAAAGCTAACTTCTCTATTCTGCTGTTACGATATGAAGCCCCACAACCAGAAACCACGCAGGTTTTTCCACCTCCTTTAACCCTCATCCGGGCAAGCTTTTTTACAACCTATTCCGTGCAAGGTGAGTCTGTCAGACTCATGTAAAATAAGACCGTTTGCTGCGGTTACGGTATGTATTCTTATAAATAACAGTACTGTAACTAAAATAATACAGACAATTTATTCAATGGTCCTGATAGTTTAAAAAAATAATGACAGTAATAGACCGAAATATGTCGTAGTGAGTCCGGCGGACTCACCTTGCCCGGATTAGGGTTAAGCAAGATTCAAACTAATTACCCTGATCCATACAGTTGTCCCTACCCAACGAATACGCCAGTGAGAGGAAACAGCGAGAAGCTAAGAGTGGCTACGAGGGAATACCAATGGATGGGAAAGATTATGCTAGGGGAGCAGAGGAGACAGCAGAGCGCAAGGGAAGACTGTGAGCGTTAGGAAAGCGTAGAGTGAGAAATTTTCCTTCTGGAGGAGTCCCCGCGGCCCTTTATATGCGCATCCTTGTGACATCACTCTGCATGCGCACATATTAACGACCTCCTCAATGCCAGGGGTTGATCTTCAGCAATTTTGTAATAAAAAAAAATTAAAAAAAAACACATTATTTTGGTATGTTCCTAATCGGGAACACCATGAAGTGAAGTAATTGGTTATCCAAGGTTTCTAAGCTCCCTCCTCCCCCCTCCACATCAATCCGGTAGAAAAAATACAGCTCTAATTAGTATTCAATTAATGCCTTGTCCCATAATAGTCGCTTTTTCAATCACATATCTGCGTATTTATTAAAAGTAAAATATAAAAACAGTACCGTATCATCCCATACGAAACGTTACCCCCTAGTTCACCTATACAGGTATTTAATCGAAGCATCGAAGGTGCCGTTGAGTACGCAGAAACAACCCCCCATCCTCACATTGATTTCAGATTTACATACATATACTCCGTAGTTTGGCAGGAAAACGTCTCTCTTAAGTCATTATTTTCATATTTGACGATGCTACTTTTAGGGCGAAAGAGGAAGCTTAGGTCGATTTCGGTCTCTACGCTCCGAGGCCTTTAAAGGATATAACAATCGCGACAACACACATCCTCGAGTACATCGCCATGCCTACATTCCTCCACGATTACAAATTTTAATCCTCGTTTACTGAGTCGTGCATTTGCTGATAGTTTTAACATACGAATTCCGAAAGAAGATGGAGAAGAGAACCCAGTAACTCAAGTATAAGGCAAGGGAAACCACGATATTGACACCATTCATTTGACACGGAAAGCGTCGTATCTTGTAGTAGAACGCTCCCGCCGTGGCAGCGGTCCCCAGCACCATCTGCAAGATCTGCAGGCAGGTGATGACCTTTGCGATCCACCGAGGCACCCGGAACCCCATGGTCCTGACCGTGTAGTACGAGTACATGAGTGCGTGCACGACGTAGTTGAGCGCGCAGAACCAGATGCCCGTCGCCGCGAAGTCCACGTAGATGTGAGCCGTGAACAAGATAACCGTCGCGTGGTGGTAGCAATGCAGGAAGGTCAGGGGTTGCCTCTTCAGCAGTAGGAACACCGTGTCGCCCAGTTCGGGGATTTTTGATAGGACGAACAAGAATATCCAGTAGCCTGTCTCCCGGCTTTCCGTCATGTATCTAAAACATGTCAATAAAAACAAAACACATTTTTTAAGTATGTAAACTTGACTAAAATTCTTCCATTGTAGAGATGCCATAACGTATGCTTCATAAGCAACCCGGTGAAGAAGGAAAAATTATTTTTACATATGCGTGTCATCATAGTTTCAGGGACGGGACTGAATGCCCCCGGAGTTTTGCAAACGGTAAAGCGCTAATATTCGTAACCGGAAAGAACCCATTTGAGGTTATGTTTTGCCATGCTGTATTAGCTGAATTTTTTTCTTGCAGGAGTGCAAAAATGTCCTCCTATGAAGTTTCAATAAAAGACATACAGTAAACCCGTTGACTACCCATGATGCACCAGTAGAGTATGAATCATGAAAATGTCAAATTCTTTCCCCCTTCAAAATTCAGCTGTATCACGTCTGCGTATTTGCAGGTGCAAGTAGGACTCCGCGCAGGCGTCTGCTTCCATCAATACTACAACAGCCCGTAAAATTTGTATAATAAGCACATAAGAATGTGCAATAAAAACAAATTCAAGAATGCATACATTTTCACTATTTTCCGTTATATCGGAGGCACGGTGAACACTCAAAACGCTGTGCAGTCAAGTGGTTATTAGTCGGTTTTTAGGCACCGCGGAATAACAAGTTTTAAATCCTAATATATGAAAATGTACAGCCCATCAAATGTTTGTTTTGAGATTTTAAACTCACGTGGCTTTTATGGAATAGCATGGAACATTGTAAAGAACTGCATGGAAAAGAACATGGCAAGGAAAATGTTTATTCTCTGCAGATGAAAGAATGATTTTCAGGTTTAAGAAAAACAAACAATTCTTTTTATGTATGCCAGTGTAGTCATCTTGTACCCTTGGAAGAGAGAAAATTCGATTTTATGGTCATACCAACATGAATATAGTTTTGTCTTCTCTTGTCTTTTAAGTTTTACAGCAAGAAAAAGTCCTTTCAGATGTTGAGCAAAACTCAAATAAAAAAGGAAATCGTATGTTTGTTCACTGGGCCTTTGTCGCTGCGAAAATTTCTAAATCGCAGCTCTCCAAATTCTGCAAATAAAAATTTACGCACGGGGTAATGCCGGAAAATATGAGACAGTGACGTTAAAAACTTTTCATAGCACAGGAAAACGTACCCATTGTAAGAAAACAAAGACTATAAATATAAAGAACTGCAGTACCACTACGAGAGAATACTATAAGAATACATAATAAATCTAGATGCCTCATGTTTTTCGCGAAAATCCCATACTTTAGGAATATTTCAGACTTTATTAACCTGTAACCCCAGCAAACTGGCTGATTGAGCACTAAACAATATATTTTGCAACCTTCGGATCTTTAGTGATAAATCATGAGAATTTCGCATTGATCCATGATTTTCTCTCACCTCATATGCGTCCCTTCCGGTGATACTGACCATATTGAGTTTTCGTGCTCTAACGGCTTCTTACGTCTTCGGACCATGAATATTACCGTCCACATTCCGTTCTCATGAAATTCTCTCTTCTACAAGTCACCTCATTCACGTCTCCTTGCATACATGAACCCAGCAAGCCCCCGAACGAAAAGAAACTCACGAATTAGAGCAGACGCTGCAGTAGAATCCCCGACTGAAAAGGACGAAGTAAAACCAGGGAAAAACCTTCCAGGCTCCCACCGCACTGAAGATCGCAAGGCCCCCGTTCCAAGCGACGAGGGGCACCAGGACCTCCACCTTCCGCCCTCCCTTCGCGAGACCGCGGGACCAAATCACGAGGAGAAGATACAGAAGCACCACGACGACCGCAAACGGCATCCAGGCGTCTCGCATCCACTTCCTCGAAGCCTGAGGGTCGAAGTCGAACCCGGGCGATTTCTCCGTCTCGGGTTCTGGCCTACAATCCATCGCCTCCATTTGGGTTTGCAGAAAGAAGAAAAATGCAGAAATCTCACATTTTGGCAGTCGAAACCGCAGAATCACGGTTATGTGACCTGCCTCGTTTTTCGATCTACCAACAACGCATGAAAAATAATCCATTGACGAAAGCGAAGGGTAAGACAGAGAGCTATCTGGAGAATGTCACCTTTCCAAGATGAGGAAGCTGTTTTGAATGCACCGAGAATGAAAACGTCAAGTAATTCCAAGTCCTTATCAACCTTTCTTTTGCATTCTGAATCCAATTACCAATGAACCGCGAACTTATTCGCAAAGTGATTGTGAGCCACGCATCTGAACCGACAAAGCAGAGACGGATTTTAGGTGGATTTTTTTTCTCTGTTGAAAAATCCACCCCTGAGACCGCACATCCGACCAACGCGATAAGAACGGGATCCACAGCGCCAAAACTGAATTAGTATTTCATGGAAGTCCTTGAACCAGCATCGCCTCCTACACAAAACGCTGCCACCTTTCACAATATTTCCCCGCTCTTTCCCCTCACAGGAAGAATGATAACCGCGAGCTTGAATTTTCAGATGGAACATTCACGATGAGAGGCAAAAACGAACTCACAGAGAGATCCGATTTGGGATGTGAGCCAGAAGGCGGCTAGGTCGGGAGTGATCGCTCGTTGTTTACGCGTTTTAGACCCATCCCATTATCGGCTGCTGTTGGGATTTCTCCGCGAAATCGAGCATGGAGATGAATTCGGGAACTCCATCGTTTCCGTTCCGATAAGACTTCCGTCAGCCCTTTAATACGAGATTTCCATCGGTTCGTCCCCGATTCAGATTCGGAGGGGAGAGGATTTTCGTGGCGTCTTTCAGTCTTAAAATTCGTCTCGCTTGGGCGGACAAGTTTATTATTATTATTATCGGGAAGACTTTCCCAAAACGGTGAGCGAAACGCGCGCCGATTTGAGAAATAAGGGGTAGTCTAATTCCTTCGGAAAATTCTGAGACTCGTGCGACCATGATTGAAACGCGAAGATTCGATCAAGGAGGAATTTTTTGAGGCTGGGATTTATTTATTTATTACGATTCATGTGGGGCGGGGCGAAGGGGGGGGGGGGGGGGGGGGCAAGAAATCTTAACGATACGGCTTTCACTGGTAAGAAATTCTCTATCGACAGAAAAAAGACTGCGTTGAGAATAGAAGGAACGGGAGTGTAGCACCTAAATGCGTAGAGGAACTTCTGAGTCTAAAACGACCCTTGCTTCTAAAACAGCGAATTAGCTTAAAAGCAATTAGGCAAGTAAGCAAGGAAACTTGTGATCCACACGATTTCATTCCTTGCCCACGTTAATCCCCACCGGTGCCTCATTGCGCGTAATAAGATACAATAATCATGAGGCATCTAGATTTATTATGTATTCTTTTAGTATTTTCTCGTAGTGGTACTGCAGTTCTTTATATTTATAGTCTTTGTTTTCTTGCAATGGGTACGTTTTCCTGTGCTATGAAAAGTTTTTAACGTCACTGTCTCATATTTTCCGGCATTACCACGTGCGTAATTTTTTATTTACAGAATTTGGAGAGCTGCGATTTCGAAATTTTCGCAGCGACAAAGCCCCAGTGAACAAACTTACGACTTCCTTTTTTATTTGAGTTTTGCTCAACATCTGAAAGGACTTTTTCTTGCTATAAAACAAAACTATATTCATGTTGGTATGACCATAAAATCGAATTTTCTCTCTTCCAAGGGTACAAGATGACTACATTGGCATACATAAAAAGAATTGTTTGTTTTTCTTAAACCTGAAAATCATTCTTTCATCTGCAGAGAATAAACATTTTCCTTGCCATGTTCTTTTTCATGCAATTCTTTACAATGTTCCATGCTATTCCATAAAAGCCACGTGAGTTTAAAATCTCAAAACAAACATTTGACGGGCTCTACATTTCCATATATTAGGATTTAAAACTTGTTATTCCGCGGTGCCTAAAAACCGACTAATAACCACTTGACTGCACAGCGTTTTGAGTGTTCACGGTGCCTCTGATATAACGGAAAATAGTGAAAATGTATGCATTCTTGAATTTGTTTTTATTGCACATTCGTATGAGCTTATATAAATTTTACGGGCTGTTGTAGTATTGATGGAAGCAGACGCCTGCGCGGAGTCCTACTTGCACCTGCAAATACGCAGACGTGACACAGCTGAATTTTGAAGGAGGAAAGAATTTGACATTTTCATGATTCATACTGTACTGGTGCATCATGGGTAGTCAACGGGTTTACTGTATATCTTTTATTGAAACTTCATAGGAGGGCATTTTTTCACTCCTGCAAGACAAAAATTCAGCTAATACAGCGTGGCAAAACATAACCTCAAATGGGTTCTTTCCGGTTATTACCCCCCCCCCCCCCCCCCCCCCCCCCCCCATCCCTTAACCTCACCGAAGCCCTAAGCAACCTCTAAGCATGGGAGACCCAATTTGACTCCTTCCTGAAGACGGGAAGGTAAAAAAAAAAAAAGAATCGGACTAGGTCGGTCTCTCGCCCAGTCCGCCGTCTCCCATCCCCTGTCCGCCGTCTCCCATCTCCTGTCCGCCGTCTCCCATCCCCCGTCCGTCGTCGACCGATCTCCCGACCTTTGCGATCGTAAGCCGGTCGTAGCTGCCCTCGATTTAGTCCCAACGCGATGAAAATGGGATGTGAGACATTCCCAAGATCCCAGTTTTCATCGATACCAGTTTCGCTCGGATCCGATCGACGGGCGAGGAAGAGTTCCCAGACAAACAAACAAAGAAACCGAATCGGTAGGGTCCACCTGAAGCTGGTGTTTTCAAACAGGTCAAATAGTTTTCGCTTTAGAGTAGCCGGTGGATAATAATTGCTTTTCGGTACTTTCAGTACCCCGTAGTCCCGAAAGGCCAAGTCAAGCAAGAGTCCGCCGGTTTTCTCGTGAGTCCAAATCGGTTCTCTGGAGTTTGCTCATCGGCGGTCGGTGGAATTTGCACATTGTGGCTTGAAAATTTGTCGAGATTGTGAACGCTTCTGAGCAATCTCGAAAAGCTGGTTTATCGGTTTATTGATTTGCTTTAGGATATTCCGATCTACGGTGTTTCGCATGATGACTCCTGGAGAACCAAGTCGTGAACGTATTTATGAAAACATAATACGTGCACGACTTTGTTTTGACGACATCGCTTTGATCTGAAAACAGATCAAAGCGATCGCGGACGAAACCGGACGGATTCTGAGACTTCGAACCAACAAAAAAGTGAGCCTAATTCCGCTTCGCCCGGAGACATGAACGAAATTTTAGTGCCTTCAATGGGTAAGTCCGCCAGTTTTTTACATGGAAAGCTGCTAGTTCCCCGCAACTTTTAGCGTAAGCCCCAAACCTTTATTTATTTATTTATTATTAGTATTATTTTTAGCTCTCTGAATTAAATTCTCAAGATCAGCCTAAGATCCCTCTTTTTTTTAAAGAATGGACTCGAAGCGTTCAGCAACCTGAAACTCGACCGAATTCCTCTCTAAATTGTTGCTTCCAGAAGAGAAATAACACGCGGGAAAATACCCGAGCACCAAGAAACGCACAAAAAAGTATTGTAAAACTCACGGGAGGCGAGCAGTTCCCCACGAACCCCCTGACGGAATTGAGAGGAAGACGCGACTTCTTCCGAGGAATCGCGTTCTAGAGTCGATGGGATTGGGGGCTCGGCTCGCGTCGCGGGGTTCGGGTCGGTTTCGCGCTCTGGGATGTGCTGGGCGCAAGGCAGCGTCCTAGTGTCCTTGAATGGTCGGGGGGGGGGGGGGAATACTCGATGGATGTGTACTGTGTGAGCTTGCCGAGGGTTGGAAGTTTCTGTCCGTCTGAACGCTGGATGCGTCGAGCAGGGAAAAAATATGAGCTGAATGAGCTGCAGTAGTGTGCGCGGGAATTTTTTTTTTCCCCTTCCAGGGGAAATCTTGCGTAAGCCTGAATTGCATGATATATGAAAGTATGGGAGAAAAGCATTCAAATTTCTTACACGTGTTCTCTAAGGCACTAAAAACAGATATTTCGCATCAAATTGCCAAAATTGCCATTTTATTGCCATTTTGGGCTTTTGAGAAAATGGGAGAAATTTGCAAAAAGATAGGTAGTGTAATCGGTAGAATTTGTAAAAGGTCAGACAAAGATGTAAGATAAAGGAGAAATGTGTTTTTTACACGAAATGTGTAAAAAAAAAATAAATAAAACCCCTCAAGATATAAGATCCAGTAATTTTGTAAAAAAAATTGAGAAAATATGAAGAAATAAAGTTGGTCTTTACTCAAGTATGGTACTTACCAAATAATTACAAAATGTTTCCCGTTGGTAATGTTTTTCTCAATACGGAACATTATACATATTTAAGGAATGCCCCAATCGCCAAATGATGAATCTTCAGTCATTTAATAATAACATTAATTGACTATGTTCCTAATTGGGACTACAATGCAGTGAATGGTTAAGTAACTGGTTATCCAAGGATTCTACGCTCCCCCCCCCCCCGGACTTTCGTCCATCTTCTTATCTGTTCGATTCTTCCGCACAAGATTCACTAGTTTTATTTTTATTTATTTTTATTTCTAATAATATTGGAAAAGAAAATAACCGATGATTGATGTGTTCCTCAAGGCATTCATTTTCAAAATATTGGGGTGGAAAAAAAATCCAGCTGAAAAAATCCAAAGATGCAGCTCGCATGGTGCGGGCGAGGAGGATGAGGATTAGGTACCGTATGACACGAAAATACACGTGCGTCATGAACTCCCAGATCGATCAGTGGTCGCGGCTCGACTGTGCATCGCATGCTCTCTCGGGATCTCATGCGAGGTCTGATTAGATCACGTGGTGGGAGGCATGAGAGGCATGTCCCGCGTTTCCGTCGATCGGAACTCGATCTTTCGTGTCTTCCGACCGAGGGGGGCGCTGAGGGTCGCGGTGATGAAGGAAATGTCTTGGCCGTTTTCAGACGCCTTTCGCGAGTTCTGCTGTAATGACCTTCAAGCTTGCGGGTGGATTTTTGAACACAGAACTATCCGATAATGCAGCTTTATTTTCATGGAAAATACTCCATTATCAAAGAAGCGATTTTTTTTAACCGCGCATTTTCCATAATATATCATATTTAGACACCGGTTCGGAATTATAATAGAGTAGGTCCAGAGGTCCTCTTTAGTCGATAATGTTGGATTATTTCCCATCAGTCGCAATGGACTGGCTGCACGGCTTGCATCGTGCAGTAGGTATCGCCTCGTATTAAACCGATACTTTGCCTTATTCAGAGGAATCATTGCAGACAGATCAAAACCCATCGACAACTTTAACTATTCAATACTTAACTGAGGAATTTTCTCGTGCAGGCGGCACGCTTGGCTGGTAATTTTTCTCGGGCACGCGGCGCGCTAGCGCACGCTGCTATAATAATAAAAAAGTGTTTTGAATAAATATTGGAAGTCCTACTGAATCGGATTGTGCATTGAAAGCTTTGAGAACTCCAGTCTCTTCATGGTTTAATCTTTTTCCTGATAGAGTATGAGTGCATTCAGACATGCAATGTCCAGCAGGGGGGGGGAGGGGGGGAATTTTTGTGGAAATATTTTCTGGAAATATTTTTTTACAGGGGGGCAAAAAATCTATTTCTCCTCCCTTAGCCATTGGACCAGGACATATATCAAAAGATTTAAGTCTCTACTTTCAGATCTCGAAGGGGTAAAGGCTGGGATGTTCAGCTTTCGTGAACGGACCAGGGCACGAGGTAGATTCCGCGACATTGCCTTCTGTGAGGCACGAGACCAGGCATTAACTCGATCAACCTGGATCGCAAGAAAGATTGGAAGGTCACAGGAATGGGTTTGGGCGAACTGGAACAAGAGCTATGAAGATGTTTATGAGGGGTTCAAAACAATAAGAGTCGTAAGGCAGTCGGGGGGACCAAAAACAATTGATTGATTCCTGAGATGAAAGGATAATTAAAACACTGCTTTCCTCCATCGTGTCGTATTCTAAGTAATGGGAGAGAAAAAGGTTTTTGACGCCTAGTACAGGTACTATCGGAACTTTCGACACCCATTTTTCCAGCTCAGAACCTTTCAGAACCTTTTTCACCGTCGCTATTATCTGTAGCAATCACTCGTCTTCGCTCTCGTCACTATCAAAACCATCAGCCTCTGATCTGCCTAGAACATTAGCTACATTTGAATCTTTCGGGCCCGACAGTCTGGGCTTCCCAACCCAGGGATCGCCAAGATCATATTTATGATCGCGAACCGTCAACTAAATGCCATGTTATGTTTTTTCTTCGCGATTTTAGCGCATGGGTGGGGGAGCATGTCGAACTTCGGCCGGTGCTTGGGGTCCCGAATGGCATGATCGTGACTTTTGGCATCGCGCGTGAAGGTTGGGAGGCTCTGGTCTAAGTATTTTACTTGTACACGCCATGCCTCGCAGACTGGAGGACTGGTGTTAAAACAGGGCCTGGCCCTGTTTTGGAACTATCGAAGTACTACCGAGCAGATTTCCCTGCCATACGTGAGATCCCTACCTAATGATAGCTGTCCGAACGACTATGGCGAGCTACCCAGGGAAAACGAGCGACAGAAATGCCGCAATAAGTATACCCAGTTAAGTGGTTAATGACGCAAGGTTTCGAAAAAGACTCCGTTTCACGAAGGAAAGCGTTTTGTTCATCGACCCGACTTGACATTGGGAAGTGACAACGCTACTGGAGTACTCCCACTTTTAAAAGTGTTCGTTGTTCTTCGCTTTTATGCGACGAACTCTTTTCACAATGTCAAGGGATTTTTCCAGCCATTTATCGTGTTTGTTAATTCGCACGATGCTCACAGCCATTTTTTAAAACTCATTACGGTGTGCTTTCTCGCGTACGAGATGCTACGTTGCCGTCACCAACCGTCGTTGAAAAACAATCGAGGATTATTATAATAGAGCATTATCAAATGCAGCTTTATCTGGCCAGTTCAAAAATCGAAAAAAATACTCCACTTTATGAAGTTGCATTATCCAATAAAGCAGAATTATTTTGGAGCTCGGTTAAAAAATCCACCCTACGTCCCGTTTTCGTATTACACACTGAAGCGATGGTGGACTAAGAACTTGACTCGTTTGGAAGTCTCCCATTTTGGGAGCTGAGACTCCATGCAAAATCTTTAGGGGTGGGGGCTCGGGGTTTACCAGCCCTCATACATTGCTAATATGAGGGGTCCGCCTATAATGGCGAGGCAAATACTTCCTCAGTGCCGCAATCATAAAAGCTAACATTTGAACAGATTGGGCGGATACATTATCCTGTTGGTTAGCTGCACGGTATGGTTGTCATCCCATTTGAGACAAACTATTTTTTAGTGATTTCACCTGTATTGTTTCATCTTACGCTGTGCAAGATGCCATTTCCATTCTGACTCATCGGGTCATGCCTTTGATGATATTCATCTGTCGAAAGGGCGATCTCTCGTACGTCCTTTTACGAGGGTAAGTTAGAGGTTACTTACGAGGGTAAGTAAGGTTCCCTATTTAATTTCTTCGGAGGGCATGTAATTACACCGAAGGCAATATACAGGAGATGTCCCCACATACGTTTATTATTTTTCCACATAGTCACCAGACTTGAGACATTTGTCGTAACGGTCGATCAGCTTATCGAAGCCCTGCCGATAGGAGGACGCGTTCTGTTCCTGAAGTCACTTTGTGACTTCCTCTTTGACGGCGGCATCCGATGGAAATCGTCGTCCTTGGAGATGCTTCTTCAGCTTCCCAAACAAGTGAAAATCCGACGGTGCCAGGTCTGGACTGTATGATGGGTGGTGAACAATTTCCCATCGCCAGGTGCTGAGAAGGTCCATCGTGGAGCGAGCAGTGTGCGGGCGGGCATTATCGTGCAATAGAAGCACTCCCTGCGACAGCAGTCCAGGCCGGTTCTGTCGAATCACTTGTTTCAGTCGTGTCAACGTCAACTGATACGCTGCGGCATTCACAGTCTCACCACGTGGAGTGATATCAATGAGAATGATCCCGTAAATGTCCCAAAAGATGGTTGCCATCACCTTTCCAGCACTCGGCGTTGTCTTGAGCTTCTTTCTGACAGGGGAACCGGGGTGCTTCCATGTCATTGATTCCATCTTTGTCTCTGGAGTATAGTGGTGCACCCATGTCTCATCGCCAGTGATGATGCGACATAAAAAGTCGTCGCCTTCTTCCGTGTATCGCTGAAGGTTTTCGAGCGACGCTGTCATGCGTTCCTGCTTGTGGCCGTCGGACAATTGCTTCGGCACCCATCTGCTGCAGACTTTCCGATAGCCTAGACGGTCGTGCACAATGTGCCAGACACAGCCGTGTGAAAGTTTGAAGGACTGCTCCAAGTTCTGAAGAGACAAACGTCTGTCTGCTCGAACTGCTGCATCGATCTGATCGACAGCATCGGATGATGTCGATGGGCGTCCACTTCTGTCCTCGTCCACTACAGTCACACGACCATTTTTGAACACACGGCACCACTTCCTCACATATTGCACTGACAGGACATCCGTGCCGTACACAGCCACAAGCTGTCGGTGGATTTCCACCGGTTGGATCTTCTGTGCCCACAGAAACCGAATTACTGCCCGGATCTCCAGCTTCGTATACACGTGCAGTACCTTCGCCGTGTTAGCTGCGGACTTTGTTTTAGTTGAACTTTTTTCTCACCGTGTCCATACAAAGTAAATATTAAGGTCTGCATTATTTTCGAATAACTGTTTTCGCACCTCTTGATAGACGTTCCCAAATACCAGGAGCAAACTTTGTCTTCCAGTAAAATGTGACACATTGGACAATTGTTTACTACCTACAAAACGAAGTGCTGGACATTATTGAATTTCTCATGTGGCCACCCAATACAGACGGTTGGATCACTTTGGATGGGGATATTTTACAAGAAAATCTCTACCAACACGAAACCTGGAGTATGGAAGATAAAAAAGCAATGATCCAGGAAGCCAAAGTTCCTTGGCTTAATACTTTGTCAGCGCACAATTGGACAACACACTCACTCAAGCCTCACATATGCTACACTGATGGATAAGAATTCATGTCTATGAGGCAAATGCTTCATGCAATGTTCATCTTCAAACTACATTTAATTAATTTAAATAGTTCCTTTAATCTCTGCATGTTACTGGTAATTTTTGTGAACAGGGTTGGTTTGGTTCTGCTAGAAATCCAGTGTTATAGAGCAATGTTCCTTCATCCTGACTAAGTGCTTCCAATAGTTTCCATCTAGAGGCTAAGGAAACAATAGATGAATTAACAAATTGCAAACAAAAGCATGCCTCCTGTTACCATTTCTGTCCACATTTCCAAATACACAAAAATCAGCAAGTGTCCCACCGAGATGGAAATATGGGTCAAACAAGTCACTTTATTCTCGGCTCAATTTCTTCACAGACATTTTTTCATCAATATTAGATTCAGCATATGGGCAACCCAGAAACTGGTCAGCAATCTTGCCTGCTGCTCGGAGACCACTAAGTAATGCACCATGTACAGATGCAGGGTAATTTCGCATAGTGTGTTCACCAGCAAAGAAGACACGAGGGGAATCTCTGGTATCCTCACTCTCAGAAATTGGCGACACAGGGAGAGCAAGGAGGTCGTAATCCTCTCCAGACGAGCCAGTAGCCACAAATGAATATGATCCACGAGCAAAGGGATCTGCTCTCCACCTTGTGACAACAGTATCTTTTGGGTTTGGAATGCTTTGACCATGTATGTGTCGAAGTACTGTCATGCACCGATTGACAATCACATCATCACTGACATTTTCCATCACTTGTGCTGCCTCTCCTGCAACAAGAGCAATCAAAACAGGTGCTTTGTACACACTCCAAAAGAGGAAAAGTTCCCCACGACTGGCAGTAGTGCTTCCCACGTGTCCAAAAAGATGTACACTAGGATCCCAAAAAAACCTATCAAAGCAGAGAACAACTTTGTTCAGATTTCCAAAGCCCACTCGATTAATGGCTTCTATTTTCCACTGTGGAAGTGGTGGTACAAACTGAACACTGACTGAAGAGGAGTTGTACTGACGGAGGGAATGTTTCAGTACTCCTAAAGGAATGGTGCAAAGAACTGCATCACCCTTGAAGACTTGAGGTGCTTGATGAGGATTTCGAGAATTGTGAGCAGTCACTTCAACTCCTTCTGAAGTATATTTAATTTGTTTCACCACACAGTTGAAACGCAAATCCAAACCTTCAGAGAGGGCTAGAGGAACACAAGAATATCCATTTCTTACAGTCAGATGTGGCCCAGTGAACTCATGTTCGTCATCCTGGTCCCAGTGTTTCAGGGATAGGTTATTTAAAGGAGTTGCATTAGCAAACTCAAGATTAGCAAAATGCCAATCCAATATTTGGCGGTCTCGTGAAGACAAGTACACATCCGATGGTGGAGAATTCTCTAATTCCTGTAACTGAGTCTCAAACTCTTTCTGCTGAGATTCCAAGTTTCTAAGTTCTTCCAAGGCCTGTTTGATGTAATAACCCTTCAAACGATGCTGAAATTCTTGTTCCTCATCCTTGGATGAGGCTTCCAGTTCTTTCAAAGATGTATCAATTTCAAAGACATTATCATGGAGCTTCTGTACCTTTCCCAGAACTTCTTTGAGCTTCTCCTGTTTTTCCACGATCTGCTTCCACTGTCTAATTTGTCTATCCATTACTGCTTTCTCTTGCAATTTGATGACCCACTCAAGAGCTTCTCCTAAAGACACATGTCTTCCATTGACCTGATTGAAATCTAGATGATGACAGATATATGATGTAGCTTCCAGCAATCTATTGAACTCTCGTTCAACCATTTCATCCTTCTCCTTTGGGACAGTTCCAGTGCTACTTGCTTCATACAGGGGACACTTCTGCCTAATGGCATGTAGTTCCATGTTAATCTGCCTTGACATGATTTCAATTGGGTTGCCTCCAAGTCCAGTGACAACCATTGCACCAAGATCAGCCACATAATGACCACGGCGAAATGTGGCAATACGACCACCTACTCTTTCTCTGCCTTCAAGAACAATTACTTCCATACCAAATTGTTGAAGTTGCTGAGCTGCGATAAGACCAGAGATTCCAGCACCTACAATAATAATTTTTCCATGCTTCTCCTTGGGTAACATACTGACCCTTTTGAAGATTCCAAAGTTTATGTATCCATAACGCTGCAAGTATGAGTGAACTCTCATCACAAGAGGACCATCACTATTCAAGGGGGGTTTCATGTGCAGAAGAACCTTTTCAACTGTGAGTTGCTGCTTTGGATTTGCAATCCACAGATGAAGAATTGAGTTGCGCACATGTAAATATGTTTTTTGACTTTGTGGTGGACCCTGAGCAATGGCTGGAAATGCTTGAGCTTCTTCGGGAGTGATTTGATCAGGAGGGAGGCGACTGGAGAAGGCTGCCTTTTCATGTTCAAATGGTTGTTCCTTGTCATCATTTAGTTTGACTTCTGCTTCATCTGGCTTGTCTTGCTTGATGCTGCTGCTTCCTTTGTCATTCTTGACATGTGATGATTCTAAATCAGGCTCCAAGGACTTGTGATCCATGTCTTTGTCAACATCAGGCTCACTTCCCAGGCTTTTCTTCTTGGAAGCACTCCTTGCTTCTAAGAGAGAAGTGAAAAATGGAGAAAAAAAAATTTAATTAAAAAATAGCAAGTATCAATCACACATGTAAAATGGCATGAATTAAGAAGGAATATACTATTTCAATAAGAATCTGGTTGACATGAATCACACTTCCAGTAAGGCAATTTCAAATGCAAAATAAGATGACAATGAAAGTAATTTTGTGACAGAAGTATAAACAGAAAAACTGGAGAGGAGAAAGCATGCATTTGTGATGGGGTTATGGCATCACTGCCACCCACCTGTATGTGGGCCCCTGATGGCTATACTATGTTCAGTCTGTTTGGTGTGCACACCTTGTGAGGATGTTGATGCTATGTTCTGTATAGGCTTAAGGTATAAGAATCTGGTTGACATGAATCACACTTCCAGTAAGGCAATTTCAAATGCAAAATAAGATGACAATGAAAGTAATTTTGTGACAGAAGTATAAACAGAAAAACTGGAGAGGAGAAAGCATGCATTACACCTTCACTGGACTCTTTAAGGGTATGACTTGAGATCCAATTGAAAATTGACCAGATCAGTGTGATCAGTTGCTTCTAATACAATTAGAAGCAACATGAAACATGGACAATAAAATCTATTTAAGCTTAAAGGTGGAGTTCAAACATTCCAAGACATTGATTATTGTTAAAAATCATAAGATTCAAAACTGCTCTTTAAAAGTCCACACTAAGTAATGCATGGATTAATTCTGTCCAGACTTTCTATCCCACAGGCTTTCATATGCCCTCCCATCTCTTGCTCATCTTAAAATCTCTTTCAATGTTATTTTTATGCATCTGGGATAGATTTTACTCCAATATGGAAACTGCCACTACTTTTCACTATGTTCCGAAACATCAGAGAAGCCATTCTGTGCTAATGCATATAAAACACCTTTTTCTGTTTATACTTGGCAACAGAATGCTGACATCTTCTGTGGGCATAATTTTGTGATTTGCTTAGTATCTGTCAGAGCATGGCCAGAGAAAAGCTTTTTCTATGTCAAAGCTGGTTACACGGAGGAGCATGGGTTGGAAAACACAAAATTAGGAATCCCTTTGATTTATATACACAAAGCACACCCAGAGTGAAAGGCTAAAAATAACTAAAATCCTTAAAACCCAACTATTGGCTTTATCCAAAAAAAAGCCTAGGTCCAGGTATACTCAGGGTGCCCCAATCCTGCTGGGCTCTTTTTCATTAAGCACCCAACCATTGGACATTTCCTAAATGACTTTCTGATTACTTGAAACTCAGTTGAAGTGACTGAAAAAAGTTATAGTGAGGGTAGGATCAAACCAAACATTCAACCTTCCCATTTAAGTTGCAAACAAGTAAGATGACAGCTCTTGTCCTCTAAGGAGGGGTTAACGGTAGAGATATGTACAGAGTGGTTACTATGCTGTCCTGTATGTGGCCAGTATCTAAAATTAGCTGTTAATGCAGCAATATAAATGGTAGCATACTAAAAACTACTTCTTAGTCATAATTCCACATCCCACCCCTGGATTTTACCTTGTGCACACCAGTTTGGTATGCACATTCCACCCAGCAGTGCCAAAGTTTAGAATTGTTCATAGGTTAGGTAAAGTACAAGACCTATCCTGCAAATGTAACCAAGGCTGCCAAGGTCATTGATTTGCAATTCAATTCATACTGCATTTTACAATGTGGGTGTTGACTCTATGACGCATGCAATGAGGGGAGGGGATTTCCCACGAAAGAAACACTATTACGCCCATGAAGCTCATGTAAGAAATGGTACACTTGCATTTCGAGCCTAGTCCGACATTTTTACGCCACGCTTAGGCAATCTTCCTCACCTGACATCCTTATATGAAATGATGGAGAGAGCCTTGCTTCAGGATATATTCACCGGATACATTAAAGGCGCGAATACGCCGTAAGCCGACTTTAGCGGCAGCAAGGAAGCAAGGTATGAAGAATGTTCACTTGATACATGGACGCCGCCATCCTTCGACGGGCGTCCCGTTTTTCCCGGTGCTCAAGCGGTGTTGCCAAATAATGCAATGTGCACGTCTTTACAATTATTCTCAGGTTCCTTTTCAGCAGATGTTATCTACCTTACTTCCAGCGACTCACCGCGGTGACTCCCCAGTGAATTTCCATCTTCTCCTACTGGAGATCAATAATGAGACCTACTTTTTACTATTAACTCATTGTGCCCAACTACTCTAGTCTGCTCCTTATTCAAGGTTGAATAACGAAAGCGACACAGTTGGATTCGTCATCCAGAAGGTGAGCGCACTCTAGGTTCTATTATAATAGGAGCTCACAATCTACAGGATCAGTCGACTTCATGCATTCTTGCAGAACTTAGACTCACTGTGCTTTATTGTTTTTTTATACACATTTAAATATATTTACATTTTACATTTACGTTACATTCATGAGTGAATTAGAAAACGTTTTTCTAGGCCTGTTCATGGAAAGTTGCACAAAGGCCTATGATGTTCTGTAAGTTGACAATACGCAAGTTATCTTTGTTCCTGCTGACTTCCAGTGAAAAATAGGGCAGCTCAAAAAATGCGAGTTCATCTTCCTAAAGATTAAGATTCTTCCTAAAGAACATAAAGACCAGCCAATGCAAACATTTTAAGGGAACAGGAAAATCTTTTTTGTATTACGATACAAAATTCGTGAAAAGCGTCCATAGGGTTAGAAATTACAGCCAAATCAGGTGACTCCAGCGCACTTTAGCGCGAATCTTTGGCAAAAAAAATTATTGGCATGCATACAGACGACGATCCTAGTTGCGAGATCCCCCAGAGTTTAGCGGCTCAGCCAAATTGGTTGAATGTCATGAACCGACGGATTGGCCTTGAGCACCCCACAGATGTGACGTCGCTTGCGTCGTTGGCCCTAACTTGGGATTTGTGCAACTAATTTCCAGAAATTACATACCATTGAACACGGAAGGAGTTGTCAACTAAGTGCCAGATGGTCATACGTCTAGGGTAGCTGCTCTGATTTGAGCCACGTTCATCTGACTTGTACCTGTAAGCTAAGTTCGCTCTGCCGATTTTTACTCATACTGAATAACAGAAGCAGTACTTCAGTAGCAGTCCGTGAGAAACTACAGGGTGTTTGAGAAACAAATGTGTGTGTGTGTGTGTGTGTGTGCGGTGGGGGGGGGGGGAAGAGGTTACGTCACGTTTTTGCACGGTTTCTCTGAAAATGAAAATGTAACTGTTACGACTTACTCTTTTCAGCGTAGAGGATTTCGAAGCACTGATCAACCGAATGCAGAGAGTCCAAGATAGGGTTGCCAATCTCGCTAGTCCTGGAGCAGTCAGTGGGAAATTTCCATGTACTCTGTATGCAGGCTGCAACATGTCCTGTAATATACGGGACAGGTGCAACCGTTGTCCGAGGGGTCATCCGCATCATGACAAAAGCGAGGGATGATAATTATAGTGTTTCCCATTGACTCTCTTACCTGCTGAATAATGTTACGCACAAGTGGCATATTGCTTCGTACTCGAGTACAAAGCAATATGTCTTAATATTAAGAAAGGATCCTTTCAAATGATCCGTACGTGTTGCATAATGTTTCGTACTCCCTCCTCCCGCCCAGCGAGCAAGTGCCACTCCGAATGACGCATCCATCTGACAACCCTTGGAGAGAGGAATGCATGGCTTGTGGATAGTCTTTAGAATGAATGGATATCGAACGCCCAGATTCACGATTACTTTGAAGTACTCCATGGAAAGACCTGTAAGTAAATGGAAAAGGAGTTCCACGCTTAGGAATTATTATTGATGAAATACCAAGTAATGATATGATTTGCGTCAGAAGTGGTCCTCTTTCGCCTGGGCGCCGTAACGACCAAGCGCGAAACTAACGAATGCCACCCACGGGAGACTTCGTGATGCAGCCGTTGTTTCAAGGGTCCTGGACATGGTTCCTATCAGGGTTGCCAGGTGGTCTTGCCATTCTGAGCAGCACTGGAGGAGTGGAGGAGAGCAGGTGGTACGAAACATTATGCAACGCGTGCGATCCATTTTGAGGGAGGTGCGGAGTATTTTGCCGCTAGTGTCTAGCATTCTGCAAGACGTGCGAAATTCACTGAGAAACACTGTTGATGCAAGGATAGGTTTAGGAGGCATGTAATCGAAATGACCGGATCAGAGTCGTTAGCCGGGTTGACTTTTTCCTATTTCTTCATCATGCCTCTCACTTCTCCACAGTGATTTACGATTGACCCCCCCCCCCCCCCCCAGGCTCAAAGTACGTTATTCCTGCTTTTGCAGCTGATTTTATTCAGGACAGCTGGTGGTTTTCTTAGGGTTTGCAGTTGCCTTTATGTTCGGGAGTCACTAGATTTGAAATGGATGCACAGGCGGCGATTTGTTGAGAAATTTGGGGGGGGGGGCTCAGAGACAGTACTCCAGGTATTCCTTATCCTCGTCCTCGCTGCGAGCCATTTCTGCCAAATTTTTGGGGGGGCTCGAGCCCCCTAAGCCCCTATGATTCGCCGCCTATGAATGGATGCGATGACTCTATGTCATGGTTGGATTCATTAACCTCCTCAGACCCAGAAAAAATAAAACCCATTTGATTTGGTATGTGTACATGTCATTCAGGTTTTATGAGTAGCTGGATTTGAGACACCCGTAACACATCGTAATCGCAAATATACAGGAGACCGTTGACGGGGTTGCTTGTGCTCACCTTCGATGCAATTGAATTCTCATAGCTGAAGGGGCGTCTTTCGATGTCAACGGAGTTCCCCTTCCAATAGATGTCCTGGCGAGTCTGGACTAAAGACTAGACTGGAGAAGTTACAACGTCCAATATCACCTTACCCCGATTGAAAGTAGCTCTCTTCGTCTGCTTGTCACTTCTTCCCTGATATGCTTCAGAAGCACGACCGGAGGCTTCGCGAGATCAGTCGGTTTCTGGATCGGGGTAAACAAGAGCAGATAAAAATGTTTGTTTTAGACTCATGGAAGAATAGGAATTGGCGGTGAAGTTATGGGGTACTATGGCATCACTGTTCAACCACAGTGAGCATGGCCACCACTGTAACATGAGGACCGCATACATAGACATCTGAGGGCCTTGGTTCAAGGTAATGTGAACTTAGGAATATTTAGACTACCGTGACTTTCGTAAAGGGTCGTATTTGATGTGGGAGGGATGCTCTTGTGTTAAGTATCTTATTCCCATTTTTAGAGCTTATCAGCGACCGTGGCCTTGATGCTTTTTGAAGAATTATAAGTTCTGGAGTATGTTTGGTAGTTCACCATTAGCAATTGCCTATGTAGGCCTAGACACTATTGGATAAATGCCAAGTGGATGAATCAGTTAAGGGCAGTCACTCAGGGGACCCTTTCTATTTCAATATCATCCTCATTTATTCTCCAAAATTATATAAAAATCCAAGTAGTTGATGTTGGGGTACACAGGGTTAGTTTAATAAGAGGGTCTGGGTCATTACTAAAGAGGTTTATTTCACTATTGTTAGATTAAAGTTGTGCTTTCTAATGTGAAAACTTGTTAATTAAGACAGTGGCATTTTTCAGATGGTTCCTGTGACTGAGGACCTGGATTTGAAGCCAACAAGGTTGTGCATTTGTTTCTTAGCCCCAGTCCCAGCATGTTTGGGAAAGGAAACCCCCTGAAAGAATAGCACACTCACCTCCAGACCTGGGATGGTAAAGAACCTCAGTGGTGAAGGCTGAATCTGGGGTAGCATATTCCTGGAGATACCACTTTGGCCAATTTGAGTCTCTTGAAGGTTAGAGGTTGCTTGAATCTTAGATGAGGTTTCAGTGAAGTGGAGATTAGATTGAGGGTGGGAGAACAACAGCTGGGATTACATAATGGATATGCAGTCCTTGATGTTGATTCCCTTTTGCCTGGTAGCCTATTTTTTCATATTGAATGCATATTTGTAAAGGCTTGCATGGTTTCCTGGTTTGGAATCTTCATCTTATGATCTGGGTGGGTCATCTTGCTGTAATTGTCACTGTCTTTTTAAGTATGGTAGTTTCTGTCATTTCTCTCTGATGTACTAGCCTTGAGACCAAATGAATTGGAGAAATGAGAGTGCTTCTAGCTTTTGGTTGATTTTTGAAGATGGGACTTTTTTTTACTTCAGCTGGATGACATCAAAAGAGAATTTAGCATTTCTCACCAAATTGTTTTATTTTGCAAGCTGTCTGCAAAATCCAAAGTTTTTCCTTTCTGCCTGATGCAATCCAAAAGCATTATTATCACTGGTCATGCAACAGCCCTACAGAGCAACAAACATGACCCCTAGCATATTGCAAGAAATTAGTATTTTCTCTGTTCCCAGCCATCCAGATTTTCAGCTTGAGAACTATATGCTAGCCCTTAAAGTTAGAGTATGTTTTTTTATATATTTATAACCTCTCTCTCTTTGGTAAACCTACATCTAGGTCTTCTGTTTTCTATGAAACAGCTCATGATAGCCACAAACTATCAGAAAAATCTGATCTTATGTGGTTATGAAAGAATTCTCACCATGACTTTAATCTCCCAAAAGGGGAGGGGAGACCTATGGATGGGTCATTCTTGGACCTGGAAGAATTTGAGTGCTTAACATTAGGCAGACTAATGGCTGTAAAATATAGCCTTCAGAAAAGGATGCTCTATTTTGTTGAATTTATATTTTCCAAAGTTGTTGACAGAGGTTTACAACACATCGTTTGTACAGAAGGCTTTTTTTTTCATGGAAACACATGCTTAATGAGAGATCTTCTGACTTAAAAGAACCCTTTGAAGATGTTCTAGAAAGTTTTCCATAACTATGGTAAGTGCCTCCTGGCTGATAAGCTCCATGATCAATGTAATTTCCACCTTTAGTTCTGCAATTGTGTGAGGGTTATTTCTGTAAACATTTTCCATAAGGAATCCCCATAAGAAGAAATCACAAGGATTGAGGTCAGGAGAGTATGGTGGCCAAGACCATCTATTCCCAAAACAGCTATGAAATTGATTGGAGATTTCATGGTCTTTGAAGTGTTTGTGAATTTTTTCATCAGTCTTGTTATTTCAGATTTGCTTGGAGCTTCCCTTACTCCAAATTATGCTCTGTTATCACATTGCACTTGGACAACATTGTTTGTTTGGAAAGAACGCTTCACAATAAACACAAGTTGACCTGTAGAATATACTATCTTCCAAAAATGTTGACTATAGTTATGAAAAAAAAACTCCAGAGGTGCTACCATACAATAGCACGATTTTCAAAGCTTCAACTTCAACCCCTCATCATATATGAATTAAACAAAAAAGAATGTCCCTTTTTGAAGACCCTGTTTGTCAATATGCAATGAGATGGACTGGTTTAAGGTCTTCTTCATGTTGTAGACTAGGCCACTTCCTTGAGAAGTACTACTAACTAAATTTAAATATAGGATTTCATGGGCATCTGTAAAAAGAAAGATGAGGGTGCTTTGTTTGGAAGTGGGTGCTAACTGTGTATCTTTGTTGTTAATGATCAGAACCTGAACTGAACTTCATTGAAATATCTTGTTGCCTAATTTCTTAACCTCCCAGTGGTAACAGAATTACTGGTGGATTCCAATTACTAAACTGGAAGCATCTGATTTTCATTACTAAGCCATGAATCAGATACAATAAAAATGCTTTATTTGCATTAGGATTTATCAGTTCCAATATCGAAGTACTGGTGATGAAATTATAGACTGGACATAGGTAGCTAAGTTGAGGGTCACCTGGAAAAGCATATGGCTCACAAGATGGCTGTCATGTTAACCTTTGACAATAAGGCTATCAATAAATTGCTTATTTGTTCCCAGTACTTTAGGTTTTCCAGTTGGCCTTGACTTACCAAAATGATTCATGATCATTGCTTTCTATTTCAGCACAGGTTGTAAGGCCAACATGCCTTCTTTGATCATTCTGAACCAGGATGAAAATCTGACAAAGGAGTTTGTCCCCAATAAAGGGGAGAAGCTGGATATGATGATGGAAAAAATCCGCAACAAAGCAAATCAACTAAAACCCCTTCCAGAGAGTGCTAAAGCAATCCGTGCAGCAATGATGGTGAGAAAATCGTGATGAAACTTGCTTAGTTCTCTATATGTCCACAAAAATAATATGAAAATAAAGTACCATAAGTACATTGTTTAAAAATTCTAAAAGCACCTAATGTGCTCATGCTTTTCTATAATTTCCAGGACAAGAGGCTGGTGTTTGATAGTAATGAGAAAGCCCTCATGCAGAAGTTTATGGACACTCTTCAAAAATCGATGAAGATTGTTTCACTACAAGGCATGCTGGAGCGTCTTGAGACCCTCTCTCGGCAGCTTGGGTAAGCATGAGCAATCCATATTTTATGTATACTCACATGGGATAAAAAGAGCTCATTTGCTTAAAGGCCCCTTTATCTCTTCTAAATGAGGTTTGTGCATTTGGACCTAATTAAATACATTTTTCTTTATGGTGTTTGTATATATGTGTATGGTATGGTATATGGCAGGGGTGTCAAACTCAAATCGGTCGGCGGGCCGCATTCCTTACCCTCCAGATGCCTGCGGGCCGCACCCATAAAATTTCACTTAAATTTGTGCCGACACTCAATCCATGCGGAAAATTTCAGAAGCAGATGGTGGGCCGGATGAACCATCTCTGCGGGCCGGATCCGGCCCGCGGGCCGTATGTTTGACACCCCTGGTGTATGGTATAGTACTATTATGTGAAAAAGTTGGCAGTATTTCAGGAGAGGAAGTTATTTAGGACAGTATGCTGACAAAGACTGGAGTTGATGTCACACTTGAAATGATACTGCCACCAAAGTGATAATGCAGAATTTGCTTTGTTTTGTTTGCTGAAACTATTTTGCACCTACAGATACCTTCCTCTTCCCTGATGGCATGAAAGTATTAATTGGGTTAAAGGTAGCTATTTTCATAAATTCATTTTCTATCTATTTTTTCCAGGAATTTGCTACACCAAAAAAGTATCATAGAAATTCTGAGAGACATTGTAGACTATTGAAGTTACATGATTTTTATTTGAAATTTTTTTTCTTAAGCGTGCCTACATTTCGTAGGCCTTGTTGAATTTGCATAACTAAATGGGGATATTTTCTCCATGCCTAAAACATGATTTCAGTGTGAAAGTGTTCTTATGAAAAGGCATATTAATTCTTGTTACACATTTCTCATACTTTTACTTTCAAGTTGGATAGCTCAACAGAAGAACATCCTACCTACCGGCCTGTTTTGAAATGCACATAGCCCCCCTTCATCATCTGCTATCTCCTAACTTTTTGAGACCTCCATACAGTTATATCTCAATTTAATGCACATTTGTGACCTTGGAATCTCAAGATATCCAGACACGAATGATCAAATACATTCATTTGTTAACATATGGGCCAGTCCTTCTTTGAATGGAACATATCAATAGCATTATTGTAAAGCTATAAATTGATTTACTGGAACTGTCTTCAATAGGGATATACCCTGTTTTCTATTCTCTCCCTCTATTCCCATCTCTAGGCCTTACCTAGGATTAAGGAGAGCCCCATGTCTTCCTCTCCATTTTTTCATATGTGAAATTTGGCCTCCAGTCCCAAGTGGTTGGTGGTAGCATATTCTATGACTAACCCTGACATATTGTTACTTGCAAATAATATTATTTGCACAAGGAGCAACAGATGTAAATGCACCTGAAGCTGGACATTGTGAAAATGCAAAGAGAAGGCATTCCCCTTAAAATGGGTATGGTATACCTTGTGTATCTGTCACATTTGACTTTCCTTATGTTGAACATGCGTTTCCCCAAAATCTGGGATGCACCACAGTGACATGCTTGACTTTCCTTAATGTCACTTTTGATGCTCTCAAGCAGCACAGGGACACATTTAATTTCCTTGTTGCATTTGACTTTCTTATTACCACATTTGACCTAGATAACCCATAAAGGACAAGGATGAAGTCAGCAGTTTTTTTTTTTAGAAAGTCCTACAAATGCAACATCCACAGTTTCTTGAACATCTCTGCATAGTTTCACCATTATGACAAGAACAAGTATTCATATGATTTGCTCCTGCTTTTGGCAAATGAGTCTTTGTACAAGAATGTTTTTTTATATTCACAGCTTGAAATTCCATCCTGAATCACCGGGCACAGATTGTTATTACATTTCTGCTGACTCATATTATGTAGAGGTTGCTATCTACGCCACTGGGGGAGTTAAAGATGTCCATGTGCAACACAGCTCAGAGTCTGCACCAAAAGTGAGTGCCCTGTATAGTATATGAACACATGGTAATGCTTTCTGTTAAATGTCTCTTGCCACTGTCTCAAATCATTGTTCACACAGGCTTTTTATATATAATGTTTTCATCAGTCCTCTACTTCATTTGTAGTGTGTTCCAGAAATGAGAAATGCTTTGAATCGAGCAGACTTTCAGGACTTCATCAGTCATCTGGAGGGTCTGAATGCAATTTATCAGTTGAATACAGATATTAAGACAAAAGGAAAGGCTTGGATAGCATTGTCTTCATTGGAAAGAGACCTTGGTGCTTTGGCTGAAATGCAGATGGCTCTCACACCTGACCCTCACAGCCTAATCCATGATTCTCCTGTTGGAGTTCTTCAGCCTCGACAAGGGGGTAAGCTTGCAGATGTATAAATTTTATAGTAACCCTGTTGCCTTTCAGTAGAACAATCAGAAAAATACAGAGGTGCCAGTCACTTAGAAGTTTTGCATTATCAAAATGCTCAAATAAGTTTGAAAATTGCTTTGTAGCCTTTGCTATAAAGAAATCATTTTTCATTCCTTGCTTGTGTTCTTAAAAATTTGACCAGTCAGTGTGTTGCTCAGAAGTATTATTGCTGATTACAGATTGCAGTTAGGGCAATCCAGGTGGATTGGATAGAAACTGACTTGTGTATGATTTTAACCAATGTTACCAAACAAGAGACTTGTATATAGAATATAGTGGTACCTTTTCAGTTTGGTTATGGAGAATCTGGTGAAGAGGTAATGATGCAAAGGAAAGCCTTATAGCCTTAGCAAAGGCATTTTGCAGGAATGTTGGATTTGACTAAATATCAATTAAGTTCATTTATGCCATATGGAATGTTGTTTGATATGAACATTGATTGAGCATTTATATGAGCATTGGGTGAGATGTATCCCCCTCATGTGACTTACCCTGTCAAGGTACTAATCACCCTCACTATGAAAATGTATGAGCTATAACGTGGGAAACAAAGCCAAAGTATTCTTGGCTCACATGGGAAATGAATCTATCCCCTGCTGTTTCTCATCATTGAAGGCCTGGATATGATGACATACCCTCATATATACTGGCTACAAGTAAAACTTAATTCTGAGAGAGACCTTAATGGGAAGCAGGGTTGGGCTAAGTTTCTTGCCATAGGAGTCCCAGGTCTGATATGGAAAGGTCCCCTCATAATTAAGAGAGCTACTTTCCATGTGAAGCATGAGGGAATATTGAAGGGTTCCCAAAAGTAAAAGTCTAGCAATCCATGTTTATTTGCCAACTTAACATAATCAAGTAGTATGATATTCAATCCAGCGGTCTTTTATGCTTTCCGTCTATGTGTCCTGGGGGTCCCAGGACCCCCAGGATGCATGGGCAGGAGGCCAGGACAAGAAACTTGGTGCAACCCCTGGGAAGGGTATGAAATGTAATTAGAATATTACATAAACATGTAAGGAAAAGAAAAGTAAGAATGGAATGTGTTCTGAAAGGTTATATTTTGCTCTAATATTTTTCACAGTGCATGCTAATGAAACATTTTTGTGAGGCTCTTAGTTGGACAATGTTTTTTAATGAATGTATCATAGCATCATAGCAAAGTATGTGCAACACATTGGAGACTTAACAAATAATTGAGCAATTATATGATGAAGTAAGCTAGGTTTTCGTAGTGTGTAGAAAAATAAGGTCTGATATTTTAATCAAGGATAAGCAATTGATACACCTAACTGTCAAATGTACACTGGTTGAGAATTTCAAACTCTAGGCAGGAGTACAAAGAAGCCTCTTGTTCTGCAAGAAGAAGACATTGACTTTATTTTACCAGGTTTTACCATGATTTCTTTATCTTGTGGTTTGCACTTCATCTTTAACCCTTTGTGGATTAATTTCTTTGTTCCTCTGTTTGAATTGCCAAGGTATACTTGAAATGGGATCACATGGGTTAAGAATTATGAAAGTTTATATATTTTGCTACCAGTTTATTAGTTCTCAATATTTTTGGTTATTCTCATATTGAAACCTATTGTCTCTAGGACACCCAATGCTTCTGACATACTTCATATCACCATATGAATTATTGGACAAGAAGGCTGGAGTTGCATTACCTCTGACTGTTGAAATGGTTACTTCTTCAAAGAAAGGGAGATATGTTGCTGTTGTCTTGCAGCCTGCCACACCAAACAAGCTCCAAGTTATGAGTGTACTTAACACTAACAGAACGGGAGATGGTCACACGTGAGTATGGTCTTTTGGCTGTCTTCCTTACCTAACTTCTTACTACATTGAGGCCAGGTGTTATTAGTAGACTTTACTGGAGGTCTTGCTGCCTTTAAGTTCAAATGTGACTGGCAAAGCTTGCAACTTGTGAAAGGGTTGCATGGTGAAAGAATTTCAACCTCCATTAACAGCTTCCGGTAATGATGCAGAAGTGATACTATTTGTATCCTTAATATTAGTGGTATCTTAAAAGCAGTATCAGTAGAGTTGGATAGCTAAGCTGGAAGTGGGAGGAGAAAATTACTTTATATAAAACATCTTGAGACAGAAATTGCTAGTTAGGTGTGGTTGAAATGATATGGCTAATTAGTAGGATCTGTTCTCATAGTGTGTTAAAAGTTTGATTGCAGAGAAAGTTTCTATGTCTTTTCTCTGCTTTCCTGATTTTAGGCTTCCGTCATTTATGCCCCTCAACAACATGAACAGTGCAACTCTTCCAGCCATATTTGCACTGCAGCTGCCAAAAGCTTTACCAGTGAGTGTGCCAACTCTTCATCACATCTCTCAAATCACAGGAGTTGAAGTTGGTGATACAGACAATGTTCAGCCTCTTATGAATCTCATCACCTCTGATGTCTCCAATGGGGAACTGGAATGTGGCTTTAACAAGGGCTTGTTTGTAGTAAGATTCCTTTTTATCATATCTTTTGCAGTTGACAGCTAATAACAATAATGATATTGATATCATGGTTGTGACTTGATGTTTGACAGACTCTACCTGATCAGCAACATTGCTACTTCATGATGGGAATAGAGGAATTGCAGGGTATTATGCTGAAGAGCATCCGATTCACTCACCCAACTCATGTTCCTCAGATATTGGTGCTTCTGAGGAAACAGGCTCTCTTCAATGCTCTCATAGCCAGTTGTGTTCGGACAAGTTCCAAGCAAGGTACCATAATCATGTTGCTATATGTAGCCAAGCAGTTTCACACACCTATTCTATTCTTGCCCATCAAGAGCACTCTTCTGAAAGAGATCAAAGTGATTCCTCTATGCTTCCAGAGTCATAAAAATATTTCAGAATTTTATGCTTATAAGGCCATAAAATTCTAGAATATTTTTATGACTTGTAGAACTTTCTCTGATCTAATGAGCAAAATATACCTCTGACATTCTAAATGTTGCATCTGCAACCATGTCATGAGCTAGAAGTCATTATATTTGCTTTGGGTTTCTGAACCAAGGCACGATGAGGAGTCAAAAGAATTTTTCAAGTCAAATTTTTAATTTGAAAGGAAATATTGAACTATGTTACTTTGACTTTTAGTTAAGATTTGAAAAGATTAATCTGACATGAATGTTGTTGAACATATCAAGAAAAATAAAAATGCTCCAAAAAAAGACTTGCCATTCAGTTCTTGTCTTACAATGTGATAGGATAAGATTCCAAACTGGCTTGCATATTGCAGTATGCATTTCCTTGAACATTATGATCACCTACTTTTTTATTATACCATATGTGCTGAAAAAGTGAAAGAAAAGAATCATTACACAATATGGATTTTTTATTTCACTCTCTTCTTTTTTACAAATGAAAATTTGCCTAACTTTTAAGGAATTCAATGTGGTCACAAAGTTAGTATTGGTATTTGGAGCAGTTTAGCTCAGGAACCAATGGAAAGTAGAAAGAAATACTCTCAAGAAAGCACAATGCAGAGCTTGATAGGATAATTTTTAAAATCCAGAATAAAGCAACATATTGTTCTATTGTTTCTACATTGATTTTTCAATGTGGCCTTCATGCTGGTCCGTGATGGCATCCATGCAGGGAGTTTGTTGCAATTGATGTCATACATCTCCTGAGGAATTGCATGGACTTCCCATGGTATCACAGCCTTGAGATTTGGAAGCATTGTTTAACCATTGAACACTTGCACATCTTCAAGAAGCCCCATGAATAATAATCACCTATATTGAGATTGAGTGATCTCAGGCTGCAAACTGGCAGGATGTGTATGCAATTCCTAGAGAGTTCTTGCTTGCCACTGTTTCCATCATTCCTTGCATGGATGTGGTCATCCACAATCCTGGAGGCCACATTGAATAGCCATTAGAGCAGTGCCCTCTCAACTCTTGTTTTTGTTTTGGATTTTTTCATTCCATTTTTCTTTTCATAATGTGCATCTACCTAATACAATGCAGGAAAATTAAGCTGGATGAAATTAAAAAAAAAAAATTTTTACCACTTTAGTCCCAATTACTCTGAAACTGCCCTTAACAGACCTTTAAGAATCCATGAACTCTATGCGGGAAAAGAGCTCTTTATCTTACTTAATTGAGGTTTCAGCATATGGGCCTTTCTTCCTTGTAGTCTATGTCTCTTCCATATAATATCTTTAAGCACGTTGCTTCTTTGGTGATGTCATATAATTACTGTGACATTAATATAATTATATATCTTAATTTTTGTGGAATATATTTTGCAACTTCTTTCCCTGACTCTCTAACAGTTTTGAAGTTGTATTATAAATAATATGGGTCTGTCTGCAGAGTTGGAGGGGTCAATAACTTTTGAAGTGTCAGCATCTTCAGTACATCAAATCTCAGTGACATTCGAGCATCCATTGGAACAATGCATGGCTACAGCTGAATTGGATCTGTCATATATCAGTAACATCAAATGTCGCCTTCACTCCCTTGCATCAAATCAGATCCTCTGCTCAGAAGAATATGCCAGCAAAATTCTTCAGAGGTAAGAGGAACAATATTGAATAATTTGCAAATTTCAGGGGAATCAAATTCTTGAATTTGAGTTTATTTCTTTGCCAGGTGCCTTTCAATTCCAGTAACAATGAGAGCAATCATTAAGAAGGCCCAGAGCACCCAGCCGAAAGCAGCTGGCCAATCTGAAGGAGAAGCCATGTTGACAATGGGACGGGCAGCTTTTTTGGACCAGAACTCTTCAGCCCACTTCCCTCCAAACTTGGATTCTAAACGTTCACAAAAGGCTGATCATTACTCATCATCTGCTCGGGGTGAACTTATGAATGGATCTGTGCCATCTATATATGACTCTGAATGTTCACTAGTTCAAGACTCAAGCTCGATTCTTTCAGCCATTATTCCTTCAGGAAAACAGGAAGAGAGCATGACTGGTCAGAGTGCTGAAGGAGCAGAACCATACAAAGATGTAACAATTGGGCTCTCTGGGAGTTCAACCCTTGGACCTAGATCACAGGGACCGCATCCTTCCACCTTTAATAGCACTCCTTTCATTGGACCTGAAGGATTCAAGAAAGCTAAATCTGCACCTCGTAAGAGAAAAATGACGTCTGAATCAGCTCCAGGTTCTAGCCCACACACAGTGAATAGATTTAGCCCAAAGCAGTCTCGGGTTGGGGATGAGGATGAATTTTTAACATCTGTCAGTACTCCCATGAGTGCTCCACCAACATTGGGAGTTGGTGGACCCGAACTCAGTTCACTGAAATCAAGCTCTTCCATGGAAGACTTGAGGAAACATATAAAGACAGAACCTTATGATTTCGATCTAGAAGACATGGGAGTGCCTGATGGTCCAACAAAGCACATGGACAAAAGCAAGAGGAAGCTTAAGAAGGTGAAATCGGATAGTAAGTTATCTGCTGCACATGCACCATCTTTGATGGAAACAGATGCTCCATCAATGCTCCTGCATCATTTATCAGAGAAATCCTCCTTGAGCATAACACCCATTAGTTCATCACCTGCTACTGTGTGTTCTGCTGGCAGCTTGTCCTCTTCCACTACAGTTTCTTCCGCCAGTTCATCAATCAATTCCACCCTGGCTAGGTTTGGTCTGGAGAGACGGCCAGGCATTGAAATCATTCCCATTAGTAGTGCTCCGAACCCTTATATTGATGATAAGAGGAACAAGAGTAGAGAGTTTCGAAAAGAGACACCAGAGAAGAAGAAAGGAGAGAAGAAGGAGAAGAGGAAACGACGAGGTGATGAGGATCTGTCTCGAAGGGAAGTCATGGGTCCTCCCCGATCGGGAGCTACAAAGCCGATTACTTTGAGCATCAAGACGTCTCCAGGATCACTCTCTTATAAAAAGTCCTCTGAGTTGGGTAGAGTGAAGCTGGGATCAGCTAATGCAAATCCTGCCAACTCACTTTTGACAGCTAATTCCAGTGTTAGTGCCAGTGGAAGTGCATTGTTGTACAAGGCATCAACTTTGAGTCCAAAGCAAGGATTTGGCAGCAAGCATGGTAGCAGTCCCAAGCAATCAAGTGCAAGTCCCAAAATGTCATCTCCAAAGCAGTCTGCTTCTCTGAAGAGTTTAAGCTCTCTGCAGTCATCAGCACCTGGTGGGAAACCCACCCTCACCCCACTTGCAATTTGCCTAGGGAATGCAAGTGCTCCTTCCATTGCCAGCCTCCCTAAAATCCCAAAAATCAAAGATAGAAAACCACCAATATCTGTTGGAGGAGATGGGAAGTCTGAGGTATCAACAGGAACAGATAACCAGAAGATCATTGGAAATCAGAACTTTGGAGCACAGGCCATGATGCATCAAGCGCTGCCTGGGAAAAACCTGCAAAAAAAGGGAAAAGGTTCTCTATCAGCTGTAATTGACAAGCTAAGGTCCACTGCAGAACATACAGATACCTCTGTTAGCCCATCTGGCACAGAAAAGAAGGATGCACCTAAGACAGAGTTTACTGTGAAGCCAAGCTCCAAGGGGCTGAAGCTCACTGTAACCAAGACAAAAGGCTCTGATGGTTCTGGAAAGTCTTACTCTTCAACTAAATCGAAAATGCATCGAACGATGGGGGATGGGTCCACACAGGGACAGACAGGATCTCCTTTAAGTGTTAGACAAGGAGCTCAAACACCACATGGCAAGAAGGATCAAATACCTCCTTCACCCCACATTCTAGGTAGATCTGTTCAGAAATCTCCTTCTGAAGCATCCATAAAGAATATCCCTAGAGTGATTTCTCCTAAGTCTCAAAATGTGCTTAAAGAAAAGGTGAAAGATGCTCAGTTGTCTGCCTCAGGGAAAGAGGCAAAACTCCTTGGACGTCAAAGATCCTTTGATGAATGCCATACCCAGGTAAATCAAGACGATGCTCTTCAGCTAATTATGTCTGGTCGAGACCTAGAATTCCTCCAAATGCATTCCAATGAGGGGAAAGTCAATTTGTCACAGTCAGTTTCTGTGGATTCTCTTATGGCCTGTGACCCAGTTGCTGGTTCATCTGAAGCTAGATCCTCTGTCTCAAAGCCAGAGAAAGCACTCCCACTTAATTTAACAATGAGCAAGGAGAAGGCCCTTGAAGAAAGTACAAAAACATCAGAGAAGAATGCTGATGGATCCAGTTGTCTTCCTAGCCCTGATGAAGGAGCACTGGTCATAGATGATCCCAGCAATGGCAAAGGCAGATCATGTGGAAATGACATGTTGTTACCTGAGATACCTCCAGCTCCATCTCGTCCACTCCCTTCTCCATCTGTATCTGCTCATATTGTCACATCCCCTGCCTGTGGGAATTCTCCTATCACGCTTATCTCACCTCATTCTTCAAAAGGTTCCCCTTGTGCTATTGATGATGAACTCATGAATGAAGCCCTCCTGCTCAATCCTCAATGAGTGATGAACCCCACAAGAGCAATGATACAGAGTTATGTGTTTTATGGCTGTGGTGTCTGAAATTGGGCATATATGATTTCTTTTCTTCATGCGTGGGCTGGAGTTATGTTTAGAGGTCCCTAGAGGGCTTCAGTTGACAGCAGGGCTGCACAATTCTGCTTCTGGAGGTAACAGATTACACCGCCTTTGTGCATTGTGTTGTGATATTTTGATTATTGTCTCAGTATCTGAGAGCAAGACTAGTTGCTTGGAATGGAGTGATGGAGGGTCAGTGAGTGACAGGAACAATTGTATCCTTGTCTTGCATGTTCCCTTTCTTTGCTTCCCTGGCACTAGGTTTCATCCCATTACTCAGATTACAATGCATTTTGAATCAACTTGCCAAAACCTTTGAGAAAGAAAGATTTTGTGATGATTGGGATGAGTGGTGGAAATATGAAGTTCTAGACTTGTGCATTATCATCTTCCATCAAAGAAAACAATGCTGATTAATATTACATTCATTCCTATCTCGCAGGAATATATTGTATTTATGAATAATATTTAAGTTATGCCATATGGCTTGGTATTGGTGGCAAAGATGCTCAATGCCAATGCATATAATGCCATAGAGTTGTTATATGATTATGAGTCTTATAAATAAATAAAAAACTTTGCAATAGTGGTTTGGAGAAAATGCATTCTAATGGCATTTTAAATGTTTCCATATATCTTGTAAAAAAAAAAAATCAGACTTTGAGTGAAAATAATTCTAAATCTATATTCAGAAGGGCCAGTTGAAGCAAAGTCTGCTCCATTTATATATTTTTTCTTGCTTGTTCTGTAAGGTTGCCTTTGCAGAGATGAGTGTTGAATGGTGAATGGCATATCAGTCAATCTTCACTTTGCAACCAGCAAAGCCTTGAACAGTACTAATTTCCACAAAAAAATAGCAACACCTAGGATTTCAACAATAATAATGTAATTTGGTATGAAATATGCATGAGATCAACTAAGTTTCAAGGTTTTAAGATGACTCTTTGCAGATGAAACTAGGTAAATGTCCAACAGAAAAGAGAAATGTGGCAGGGGAGTTCCATTCATGTCAGTTATCTTTTCACCATCACTTGTGCCTGTTGATTCTTCCATGCATCAGTTTTCTTTAATGAAGCACTGTCAAGGCAGTGTTGTCTAAGGCAGCTTTGCCAACTTGACTAGTGTTGAGTTGGTTGAATTCAGTTTTAAAGTCATGCATTGCTTCTGCTAAAGTTGCTGTTGTACATGATGTCCCCGATTCAGTAGCACTTGTGTCCCTTGTGAATTGTGCACATATTTTCAATTAGACATTCAAACCCATTTTCTCTGCAAAGATTCATCATTTGACCTTATATGTATGATAGAGTTAGTTTCATGCAACTACAAGCTTCTATGCAAAATTTGATCATTATAGCTCACCATACTTTTTATTTTGCCTTTTTTGGTGACATTGCTATGCAGAAGTCCCACAACACTTCTTCGCATGATCGCATTTTTCTGGCACTGCAAGCATTACCCACTTCATACAAAACAAGGACATATTTTCTTCAATCTGTGTAAAGCTACCTGCAATTGTCATTTTAGTCCTGCATCATTTAATTATGCAGCAATTAACAGAAACACCTATTACTTTCTGATAGCAATTACTGTTCCAAGGTTTCAGCTGTTGCTGCTTTCTGGGCCTTACTCTATTATTTGTAATGAAATTCTATTTTTTATTGGGTATTATGGTGGCCCACAGTAAGAATCCTACTGGAAAGCAATAATTCCAACTGATTGATGAAAACATACAAAAGACTGATGTCTTCATTTAGCTTAAGAAGTGACTTTCATAGTTCTCCAATGACTCTGAACTAACTGGTAAGCATGACAGATGAGGATGACTGGTTTTGGGGTTATAAATGCTAAGATTTTTACCCAGATCCAGCCTGCACTGCACTAATACTGAAAAGAATCTTGGAAAAGATGTTCCTTGGTGCCAAGTTGTACTACAACATGTCCCAAAGTCTTCAGCTTCTCTCTTTCTAATTCTCTGGTGATATCAGTTTTCAGCATAGCAAAGCCCATTCCTAAAAATTTCTTTGGATGGTGAAGAGGCATATGCATTTCATCAGGGGGAAGTGTTACAGGTTGATTGATGTAAAAGTTTTTTTTAGTATTTGTCCACTTCATGAAGTCACAGTGTGAACAATACCGCTGTACAGTGCCAAGAATTTAAGCTGACAAGAAGTGTTGAATGTTTTAACCACCATACATGAGAAAATATCTGAAACTAGCTACATGTGAACCAGTATTATTTCTGCATCTGCTCTGAAATTGCAATTGTCTGCTCCAGCAACCATAATATTCTACTTAGGTTTTTTTTTTGAAGAAGTGGGTTTTGGCTGTAGTCATGGATCTTTCATTTTGTAGCTGCTAAGAACTCTTATTAGATACTGCTGTTTACTCAAATTTTTTATTCATAAGTTAACTCAGATATTTGCAATAAAGCATTTTTCAAGGTTTTTATTTGTTCAGTTTCCTCTGAAGGTTCTCAATTTTCATTCTCCTGCCTTTATTGTTCCAGTCATGGCAAAATGTTATTTGTTTTGCTTGCATGGGAAATAAGGTGAGAGATAATTTAGATTTGACTGTGGCAAATATTGGTAAATAAGAAAGAATCTCTTGCATTATTCCTCTGTCATTAAGAACTGCTTTCAGCTCATCTTCAACCAGGCAACTAAAGTTCACTTGAATGAGATTGATTGAAACATCAGTTTCTTCTGTTGGTGCTCATGTATCATTCATGCTTCTTGTGCATGTTGCAAAGCATATTTGCCACCTCTTCTTGCAAGCTATTCGAATAAAGAAACTTGAATCTCATATGTATGCCTACAGACCTTTTGATTGGCATCTGCAACTGACTATTCCATCTGTATGATTGAGTATAATTACTGATGGACATACAATCAGTTGCAATTGTAATCTTCCTGTATGAATGCCTGGATTCCGTCACATTGCTTCACATTGTTTCACACCGGCTTGGATATTTGTTCTGACACCACAAAGAGCCTCCTACGGAGGCTTCTTGGGCTCTTAAGAAACATGCCTTGGTAATATTTCACAAGAAATTATATGCGACGTCACATCACCTGTATTTGGCTCGTTTCATATAGAGGAATAGCTGCCCATACTTTAACACGCTATCAGCTGCAGCATTTATCTCGTCATTGCCCCATTCTTCAGAGTTCCTCAGGTCAGGAAACCCTCATTCTTGCTCCCACCTACAACTACCACTGTGGTCTCAATTCCTGACTCTTTGGCCCTCACTTCAGCAGAACGTAACGTTCTCTCGAGAGGACTCGAGTTTCTACCGACATCTCCCTCTCCAGATGAATTTCAATTACAGCGTGGTTTTGAAGCTCTCTTCCATCGTATTCGGCATCATTCTCCCTTTTCCAATGCAATCTACTCTGCTCCTCCACCTGATTGGCTCATACAGAATCCATCATTAAGAAGCTGGTGCCCCCCGGGAACCACCAGCCCTCCCATTAATTTCCTTCTGCTGAGATCTACTTTATAACCTGGCGTACTTTGCTCTCTACTGTGAATTTCAATATGAAAGTGAAGAGCATAACCTTGGCTTTTCAGAAGGACAAGCTCACCAATCCCTCATTGGAGAGATGTCATTGACCCCCGAATTGACCCTCCCTTGGTTGTCAAGGTCACATCTCCGGAGTTTCGATAGCGATGAGATAACTATCATCAAGAGTATTGACCTGCCACTAGTTCTTCCCTGTGTCTTGCTCCCTTTAACTCTTTCCGTGCTACGGACGAGTATACTCGTCTGGTTACCCAGCACAGCTAAGATAACTCCGCAGTGGAAGGGTTAAAGGTAATCGAGTGCTAGGGAGAAGCTGAAGTGCTTTTTGGCAGAGGAGGGGATGCACGAATCAGTTGAGTCAATTATGAAGCTTGAAGTGCCCCTCCGGGTGCGAGTGTGCTTACGCAAAATGCGTGCGCTGTCAAACGAACATTCAAGACTTCCTCACACTGAAATAATGGTCTCCGGGTGGAGAATTTCCCTCTTCATAGCGGCCACCTGTCAGAACCGGCCAAATTTAGCAAGTTCCCCTTGTGGCCATATTACACAGGTTTCACTTTATCGTTGAAGTTTCCTCTACCACGGCGCAGGACATTTCCCCTTCACGCTTTTTCCTCGATGCACCTGTCTCCTTTCTTAGCTTCATTATCTCAGTCTTCCCTTCGCGATGGGCTTCCTTCTGGCATCTTCTGGAGAAATCCAAAGATTCTCATTCTTACCTATCCTTAACATTCTCTCCTACTTCCTCTGACCTTTCAGATCTTGAAACATTTTACATAATACGCTAAAGACTTTGTCCATCTTATCTCTTGCACCATCTGCCCTTCCAAATTTTATATGGATGAAACCAGACGTCGTTTTGTGGAGCACCTGAGGATTCGTTTAAATCTCTGAGCCGGTTCCATCTCATCATTGACTTTCAAATCAATTCATCAGCAATATCAGAGTACAGGGTCTCCCCGATTCCCATCTCTCTCAAGCAACGGCGTAGCGTCGGGGTGGGGGGGCACGTGACCCCCCACCCCCACTATTCAAGGAAGAAGCCCATGAAGGGAAGACTGAGATAATGAAGCTAAGAAAGGAGACAGGTGCATCGAGGAAAAAAGCGTTGTAATCTTTTCGTATAGCTCATACCTGAACAATTTTAAGATAATAAAAAAATCAAAATGTCATGACCTATTCATTCTTTTTTTTTGTGAAAGTTACTGTAATTTTGGTGACTTGCTTTTCTCTTCGTTCTTCGGAAAATCGACTCAAATTTCGTCTTTGTACCTGCCCTCCTGACGGCATCAACCCTCCATTTCCAACTATGAATCAACTATCCATTTCTTGTTTGGCTCCTTCCTTCCTTTTCCTTTCTTTTCTCTCCTTTTTGTTTTCTCTCACTGTTCACTTCCTTCCT